AGAAAAAAAATAATTGCAAATCACATTTTAATAGGAAACTCAAGCTCACTTGTTTTATGGCTAATATCAAGAAGCTGTTGCTAACTTTACTGTTTATTTTAACTAAATGCTGGTTCGTTTTTCAAATTATTATATTTTCATTAGATTAGATATTTGCAGTTAAAACTTGCCAATTACATTTGTTTTATAATCAAACAGTTAGTTTTGTAGGGTAGCTGCCAGTCGAGCACGTTTATGGCAGATTTTAATAAGTTATTTTAGTTGTCGCCAACTCCTAAAAACTTAGTTTATTTATATTATTATTTTTTTTTTAGATTTTTTTCTTGTATTTTTGGCACCTTTTTTGCAAGTCAAATTTTGTTTGGCAATTGTCGGCAGCTTTTTAATCAGCTAATTTTTTGGCTTAGCTGTTAAGCAATCAAAACTAATTTATTAAAGCAACAGATAATACTATGAATTAAAACTATATATATGTCAACTTAAGGCCTCTTGCAATATGTGCACGAAATTGACAGAACTGACTGCCTGCAAGAGATAATTGATTCGATTTTCAAGTAACCTATAACTGAGCACATCAAATAAAAACAATAAGAGAAGTACCGTTATGTTTATGTAAAGACACAATTTTCGTGGAATTACAAAAACCCCACCCAAAAAAAATGAACGTTTTACCTCATTTGTTAAGGAGCTGAAAGAACAAAATGCATGCAAAAATGTTTTTTTATTGTTATTTTTAGAAGCGAAAAGTCGTTCAACCCGTTTGTTTGTTGTTGCTACGTAATTACATGGAAAAGAATGTATTTGTTGTTTTTATTTTTCTTGATTTTTGTGATTGGTTTTTTTTTGTTGTTTTCTTAATAATGCTAACTGGTTGGGCTTTACATTCTCTTGCAGGCCTTGACGGTTGCGGCGAAAACAAAACAAAGCGCGCGAAGCGAATTGCAATTCCGCAATCACTTCGAATGCGAATCCGAATTCGAATACAAATTCGAGTTCGAGTTCGAATCACGAGCTGTGAGTTGACCTTGCTTGGCTATGGCTAAGGCGTGTATCAGGTGGTTAATCTAGTTCTCAGATGATAAAGAAGTTCAATACGAAACGAAACACCTTACTCAGCGTGCTATTCGAGGCCGGACGCTCGTTGGCCGCCACATTCCCATCCAGCTGATCCTCCAGTTCGATGCCATAGCGCACTATATACCATTCGGCTACCAAGTATATGATCACCGTGATGAACGCAAATTTCAGATAGATCTTGAATATCCAAACAATATTGACGCATAGCTGATGCAGCAGCTCCATTGCATCCATGCCGCCGGCTAACGTTGCGTATGCGCAATGCAAATATGTCTGTGGCGAAAAAAACCAAACAGAAGAAAAAAAATGGTCTCAGCACCCCGCAACCCCCGTGCCAGTCGAGTGACTGCGCGTAGGGTCGACAAGCTGGGCAAAGATTGCGATTTGCTGAAATGAGGTCGCTTGAGGCGTCGCTTTGGAGTCGCTTTGTTGCTTATGCAATTCTTGTGGTTATTGTTGTTGTAGCTGTCGTGCTGTTGTTGTTGTTGTTGCTGTTGTTGTTGCCTTGTATTGATTGTGTGGAGCATCGCATTAGTATAGCGTTAAAGATGCACATTTCGCTTTTGTGCCTCAATATTGCCTCCGTCCCAGCTGTTGTTGTTGTTGTTGTTGTTGTCGCCTCATTTAAATTTTATAGTGTTGATGATCCCTCGCTTCGGTTTTTCGTCTGTCGCTATTTCGGCCTTTTACACTCGTAATAATTGTTGTTGTTCAGCAGCCGCTTTCAGTTTTTAAAGAGTCTTGTCTATTTTTTTGTCTTTTCTTTTCGGTATCTCTCACGTTGTCATTTGAACATTATGCGCGCACCTTAATTATGTTAATTTGTGCGACAGTTTTCTTTTATATTTTCGTCAGTTTTCGGTTAGGCTTAGCTCCATTGTGGCTGCTGCTGCATTTAACTTGTTTTTATTTGGGCGCACTGTAAAAAAATATTAGAAAAAAAAAACAAAAAAAATGACAACAATGAAATATTCAGCGCCTTTTAATGCGATTGTAAATTAATTTGTTTCCAGCCGGGCAACTAATATTGATGAAGATAAATGATTCGGGCCATAAATAACGGCATCAATAAACAAATTGGATTGCGAAAATGAGGCTGTGATATTTGTTTATTGGCAAAACTGGAGCAGAGGGCGTGTCGGGGCAGGTTTTTCGACAACAAAAATTATGATAGCAGGCCGAAATGTTGTAAAAGTTTTGATTAATATGTGTGATAAATGGAGCTGTTAAAGATAAATTTGTAAGCAGCCGAGTAAGCTTTTAATATAAACATAATTGAGCTTTAAAAAACCGGACTTTTATGTGATCTATATATTTATATGATAGTTTGCGTACTTAAAAAAATGGCAAGCATACACGAAATATCAATTGTTCAAAAGAGTCTACCAACTTTTGATTGAGCATAAGTAATCTCTTTGACTATCTATTTATAGTCGACAGAGTATCAGCTTAGGGCATACTTAAACTGCTCGATTGACCTTGACAGCAACCTTCCCAGACCAATTGGCATTCAGTGCCCCCCCTTTGAGCCACACCACTGGCTCTTGGCCAAGTTTGACAAATCAAAGCGTGTTGAGAGTCACAAAGTGCGAGTCAAAAACTCGATTGCATCTTCAATACACTTGACAATCGCTTACACAAAATCAGCTTAACCTACGATTTGTATCTTTTGCCCGACAGCGCCTGCAACTTGAGTTGCATCTGAGCTGGGTTGATAAATGCAGCAATTATTTAAAGCACACAAATCAACTTCAACTTGGATGGGTCTACGGCTGACCGGTGCGGCAGTCGTCTTTGGCAGTTACGAAAATGCGGCGCATAAAAAAGCCAAACAAAGTATATTACATTAATTTAAAAATGCACGCGCAAAAAAACCCGCAGTTGCTGCAATGCACTAAGCAAAAAAAAAAAAAAAAAAATAAAGACAATTTTGAAAAAACAGAAACCAGTCTCACAAATGGACAAAGGTGGATTGCCTTCATTGCCTTGGGACTTGGCACTTGGCGGACTGTTGTGCATCGACTGCCAAGTCGAATTCTTCCTGACTGTGCACAAAAAAATAAACAAAATATGCAAATGCTGAAGTTGAACTGTCTCATAAACTGAGCCCCAGTCGCTGAGGCAAAGACGCATCCCAGCCCCCAGTTCAAGCTGTCAGCTTGTCAACCGGCAGACCCGAGCCAAACTAGACACTAGATTCAAGATGCGAAACTGAAAAACCTGAGACCTGAGACTTCAGACATTCAAGATTCGCAGAAACGCAGGCGCTGTATTTTGTATCTTGTTCGCCAAGGCAGTTGCTTCAGTCTCTGATAAGTTCGAGTACGCGTCTATATATCTGCGCTTACCGGTTTCTGCGACAGCTTGTAGACCCTCTGACATTCTCACCTTATTCGAAAAAATATTCAGTTTTGGTTTACTTATCAATACCCTGTAGTCATAAAATTGCTTAAAAGTGGCATGTTGATGTGGCATATTGTGATGGATGTGGATAATTATTTTCAAATATATGATTTTGGTTATCTTAGAGTAAAAATCATTTGGGTAAGACCCTGGCTTAAAGCAAGGTCATTGCATTTGTAACGTATTCGGTAAATGCCTATTTTGGGTGTTAAACAAATATAGCCCGTATTTTGCATAAGAAAACATGTATGACTTGCCATATTTTCAGTACAACGGGCAAATACACAAAACACAAAATACAAAATGAATTGTACACATATGAAGAACAAAGGTTTATTCCAAAACCTGGACTTAAGAATGTGGAAAATTACTTTCACAAGCCGAGCCTAAAGGCAGCGAGTTAGTTCGAACTGTGCACTGAACCAGCGACTTCTTTTCTGCATATAATTCTGAGGCATATTCCAAAAATATCCTATATCCAATATTCTCCGGTTTTCTTATATCTTTTCCAGCTACAGGGTATTTTTCAGTTCAGCACTCTTTCCTATAGAATTCTTACGCGTTTGATACTCGAAATGTTGCTTGAGTCTCATACTTATATAGTAATATAATTATTTCCTTTTTTTCTTCGCTACATGACATTTGCGTCACATAGTAAATTATTTGCCTGCATATTAATTAGTGAGCAGTTCCATAACATTATTCGGCTTTTGTTTTATAAATAATACGCACTTATATAATGTTGTTGTTGTTGTTGTATTTGCTTCGGCTACTTGACAGTAACCCATTCAAATGTGGGTGACCAGCGAGCGAGCAGGGGCCAAGCAAACGAGTCGAAAACGTGTAAAAATACAAAAAATAAATCCGAAACGCACGCGGACAGTGCCAACATTTAAGTAGGCACGACCATAGATATTTGGGTATAGATAGGTCGGGGCTTGTCTAGGGTCTGCTTGGATTATAGAGTGTGGAGTGTGGAGTGTGGGGCGAATCGGGGGCAGGCTGACACGCATTTCTAATCGCTAACTGCACAAATTGTGTCACCTGGCTGCCTAATGACCAAAACTTGACAATTGACTTATAATTAGGTAGGCCTGAAGTTTGAGTACATAAACAAGTTTTTCTCTTGGTCTTAATCTATGTGTTTCCGCATGCTGATGGCTGTTTGTTGTTGGTTGTAGGTGCCTGGGAGGTTGTATTAATTGTTAGTTAATAACTGATAGGAAATACTTTAATCTTTGCCAAAAAATACATATGTTTCTGACTTAATGTGTTGAAAGAACTTGATTTGCGCTCATGTTTCTTCCCAGTGGAATCTTGTATTCCTGATTCCTACTACTTAACTATAAATTTTTTCCGTAAATTTTGTTTCAGTTAACTTCAAAAATTACAAAAAATTAACAAACTCCCAGATCACATTCACTATCTGCTTCTTCTTGCTGTTTCATACAAAACCTTTTACCATTAAAATTTGTTGCTCAAAGAAACAATCTATCCATCAAAATAATTCCAAATTATAACTATTCAAGCATCTTCTTGCGCACGCTTAATCTAAATTTAATATTTACCTTATTGTTATCTATTCGTGCACATTTTGCTGAGGCGTAAACAAAAAAAAGCAAAGACCAAATACAAGCAGCTAACTTTGACAACTGGAAACTGGAAGCGTTCACAATTCCAAAGCTTATAGCCATATGATCAGCAGCTGATCAACAAGCAGAGCTTTGAAAGTAAACAGCGACAGCAACGTGTGTGAGAACGAAATGTCACTAGTGTGCTGAAAGCGAGAGTTACATAGCAGTGAGCTTTAAGGCAGCTCACAAAATCAAAGCTTTTACATCAAATACCTTAATCGAACGCTTAAAAGTATGCAGCAGAAGGGCACAAGTATTTTATATACATTTTATTTTACAATTTTGATGCAGGTACATAAGAATTAAAAAATGAAATGTGCAAGAAATAATATATATACAAAAGTGAATTTGGGAAACTTGCCAACTGTGTGGAGGGTTAAACAAAGTAGCGCCAATTTGCAGCACACTCACTTGACAACAACAACAACAACTACAAAGCTTTCGCGAGATGTTCTTTATTAAGTTTCTAATGTCTCTGCAGATTCACTCAATGGCCTCAATTATTTCATATTCTTCATCCAAAGAATGATCATAATCGATGTTGTATTTATTTTTGATTTTACTTTTATAATCCTTGAGCTCATCGTCGTTTTCAAATTTATTCAAATTGTAGCGCATCGCGCCGCGTTGCTTGCTGTTGTAGTTGTTGTTGCTGCTGCTGCTGTTGCTGCGGCTGTTGCTGCTGCTGCTGCCGCTGTGTTGGGTGCTTGAGGTGCGATTGCTATGCCTAGAGGACGTGTTGCCTATCCTAAATTGTTTACTTTTATTTCTACTGCTCTGCTTACGGCTACTGCTACTATTTTGTCTACTTTGATATTCGCTATTTTTACTAGAATTATATTGTTGCTGTTGCTGCTGTTGCTGCTGCTGCTGCTGCTGCTGCTGCTGTGATGATGAGTATGACGATTGAGATTGATTGGTTGTGTATCTCATGCTGCCTCTAAAACTATTTTTGGTCATTTTATTGTAGTTGGTTGGTGCGGTGCTATCTACGATTCTGTTGTTGTTGCTGTTGTTGATGTGCTTGCTTTTATCTATGTTACTGCTGCTGCTGCTGCTGTTGATGTTGCTTTTGTTTTGTGCCAGAAACTGTCGCTGTCTGCCGCCTCGTTGCCGATTCACTGCCTCCGCCGCCGGCGCCGTTGTGTGTGCTGTCCCAATCTTATACTCATCATCAGCCTTATATCATACCTCATCCTGCTGCTGCAGCTGCTGGCTGCGCTCTGGTATGCGATACAGCTCATCGTTGTTCTGATACAGTTGCTCGGAGCCGGCGCAGTTCACGTTCGACCACCAATCGCAGACGCGTACGGCCTGATTGAAGACGGTGCCATTGGGACAGAGGAAGGAGTACTGATGTCCAGAGTGCAAGCACCAATGCCAGACCTTCGAAAAGTATAAATCAACATGATTAGTTCGTGATTCTTAGCACATAACCCAAGTCGGGTTTCTTAACGAAAAATCAACACATTTATCTATGGAATCTACCTAATTCATTCCTTGGATATTCTCTGCCTCTTGTTAGGAATAGCTTTCCCCTTTTACTTACCTGGCACCTGGTCTCGGTATCCGCATAGTAGCCCGGCTGACGTCCTTGGCAGTTGAATGACAGGCCCTTGGGCACAGCATCGTAGATTGGATAATCCTCGCCAGCTATGTAGCCATCAATTTGCTGCAATTGAAACGAAAATGAGATGCGGCTTTCAAGTACAAATATTGCATGGGAATGTGAATTATCTCATCGAGTGCAGCCGAGCTGCATGTGACCTTCGTTTGGGTGTTTCATTTGGAGCCCGCTGATTGCTCAAGCAGGGCACATTTAAATCATGGCAAAACAACAAGCAAAATGTTGTCTAAACAATAACAAATTACGAGCCTGAAACAATTGCCACACACAATTTTGGTACACGCGAAAAACACAACCGAAATTTGAAATGCAAATGCATCAACCGAAAAACCTGTCGAAAAGCTAGCAACAAATATTTTAGAAAAAAACCTGGGTAGAGATCAACAAAAGAATCATTGAGTGTTGAAAATGTGCAATTGTGGGTGGCTGCCTCTGTATGCGTGTGTGTGTGTGTGACAATAAAACCTCTTTAAAAACAACAGAGAACTGTCAATCTCATGCGTATGAAACCATGAAAAGCCGACACAGCCACAAAGCGTGGCCAAGTGGCAGCCACATCGCACACACACACACACACTCACACACATGATGACATTCCCATGACTCGACATTCGACAGCCGAGCTAGGCACTGTGTTCTTTTGTTTAACCAGGTGAACATTCCATATCATATTATGCCATTCCATTTTCATATGCATTCCTGTCGCTGTCGCATGTTGCATGTTGCATGTCACAGGTCCGTCTTTCACTTATCTTGATCTTGCGTCAATTCCAATCTAAATACAATTTTACCACACCAGCATTGTTGTTTTTGTTGTTTGTTATGCTTAAATAAATTTATTTGCAGGGCGTGTGATCCCAACTCTATAGATGGACTCTTTTTTTAATTATGTCAAAAGGCATATCTTATTGTTATTTCGAAATTTGAGATTAAAGCTTGGTTTAGGCTGATGAGCAGTGATAAATATTGCCTCATAACTGATCGATAACTGTCCGATTACACTTATTTTTCGATAACTATTCATTTGCTAGCTGCTAACTATTCGATAACTATTTTCTGCTCTTACCAAACAATTTAACAGCGCTTCATTTATTACCTCTGCGATTTCCTGCAGCACGCTAATAACTTTCATGAGCTCTTAACATTTTCAACTGCAATAACAACAACAGAGCCCAGTGCCTCAGTAACCCAGCTGCAATGGGCAACCGCCCCCACAACCCCCTCAGCCGACAGGCAGCAAGTACTTGGACTGTTTAAATACCAGACGACGAAGACTTTAAAACAACAACAGCAAAGCGGGCAATTTTCCTTTCTTTTGTGTTGTTGTTGTTATTGTTGTTGTGCTTTTGTTATTGCCCTCGTTGTTGTCGTTGTTGCTGTCTAGAGCAGGGCACCAAGGCTAATTGATAAAAGACAACAACAAGAAAGAGGCAACAAGGCAAACGCAGCAGCCGCAGCAGAAGAAGACGGTAAAAAGCAAACGATGACGACACCTTGAGCAATGGGAAATGTAGCCTGGGCAATGGGGATTTAGGGGGAGTTAAGAGCCGCGGGTACGTGTAAGTTGTTGCTGGTGTGGCGTTTGCGGACGTGAGAAGATGTCTAACACTTTGCAGACAGGTCGACGTCGACGTCGACGTCGGCGTCGTTGTCGTTGCACTTGCAAAATCGCATGCAGCCATGTCTAGAAAAAAAGTGACTTTTTGGTCCACTTTTTTTTGGGTTTGCGGCAACAATTGCATTGTTGTTGTTGTTGTTGCCACTGAGGCGACTGCGGCTGCAACTTTGCGTGGGAGTTTGCTGTTCTTGTTGTTGTTGTTGTTGCTGTTGTTAGCTGTGTGTAGATCGCTATCAGACAAGAGACAAATGGTGTGCGCAATCTTTTACTTTGAATGAGTATAGAAATTATCTAAGATGACACTTTTTTTGCCACAGAAATTGCAGCTGCTGCGAATGCTGCTGCTACTGCTGCTCATGATATGTCTGTTCTACGCTGATATCGTGTGTATATATAGAGCTAATGAAGCGATCAAATTTAAATTTTAATGCGCCTCCATTCCCAGGCTTATAAAGTTTTATGAGCGGGAAAATATTTCGGCGATAAATGCAAAGATAATTGACAAAGCGCAATAAATAGACAAATCGACAAAGCCAGACGGACGGGCTAGTCTGGCTAGGGCTAAGGTAAGTAGTTACAGCTCCGGGTTCACCCGAACTTACCCCATTGACACAGTTTCCTGCCAGCAGCACAGCGAACACGACAACAAAAGCGATGGACATGCAGGAGGCAAAGATGTTGCTGGAGGAGGCGGCGTAGTTGCTGCCGTTACTGCCAGCCAGATGAAGATGCTGCTGACTGCTATCTAGTTGTAGTTGTTGTTGTTGTTGCCGATGTTGCTGTTGTTGGTGTTGTTGTTGTTGTGGTGATTTGTTCGCTGTTGTTGCGGCTGCCATGATGTCTGTGATTTTGGGTTTACGGCTACGCGGCGTATACGTAATTTAAATGTGATTTAAAGTTTGTTTCGCTGTTGTTGTTGCTATCTAAAATACAAAATCGAAAGAGAGAAAAAAAGACGAGCTAAGCTAAGTGCTATTAGATGTTATATACATGCACAACATCCACTTTGTGTGTGTGTGTGTGTGTGTATCTGCGCGCATTTTTAGAAAGGAAGCTGCAATTGGAAAATTGCATTCGGCCCAGGCAGAAGCGATGTCTTCAGTAGTGTTATTTCTTTGGTTTGGCATGTAATTAGATTTCATTTTTATATTTTTATTATTTTCTGATGCATGGCATGGCACGGCTGTTTTGGAATTTTATGCTTGCCGCAAATGGTAATGGGCATTTGTGGTTGCGGCGTTTTTTTTTTTTCTGTTTTTGTGGTTGCCTTGCCAGGAGCTGCCGTTGAAGACAACAACATTCACTTCTTGCCACTTGGCGTTAGCCTTTTGAATACAGTTTGTATAGTTTTTTGATTACGTTTAATGGTTGATTAACTTGGCATGCGCAACGATTGTGGGTGATAATTACACAGAGTCAATTTTATTTAATTGAGAGATTGTATTCGTTGAGACAAATTGAAAAGATGTTCATTTAAAGAATCATTTAGCAGAGTCTAATTAGCTTGGAATGAGGTCAGATATTGGCAAAGGTATGAGTTTGACTTGTTTTAACTATGGAAAGATAACTATTCTACGTAGTCCTAATAGCAGTTCAGTTTTGATCTCTAATTGAAGAATGACTGGTCATTTAAAAAGCTCATTCCTTATAATCCTTCAGCTATACTCGCAGCTCTTGATAAATACTTCAGTTTAGTTGTATAAAATCATATATTAGCTATCTAAAAACTTTCAGATTATGTTATTGAAACCGAAAATACTCCGTTTCGTTTTTGTTCCTTGAGTATTCCTTTGTTTTTTTACAACAACATTTATCTTAAAGCTATTTTATGAATGCATTTATTCTTTGTTTCTTAAATCTTTCTGAATTAAGCTCCTCCAAATTTGATTCAATAGCAATTATTTTCCATTTAAACCAAATGCAATTATTAAACATTTTTAATCAAACTAAACCAAATTGAATTATTTATCAGTATTGTTCAATTAAAAAAATTAATCATCAATTTGAATTAAAGGAATTTCTTCGTAATCAAAGTTGAAGTGTTTAATTATTTATATTATTTATTTAATAATTCTCTGCCGTTAGTTTATAGAGGTTTATATATATATATTTTTAATTTAAATTTTACGTAATTAATCTCTCAACTCTTGATATGTTTGTTGATAGTTGTTGTTATTATTTTTATTTTTTTTTTGCGCTGCTCGTACGTTTTTGGGTCGCGAGCTGCTAGCTGCACGTGTTGCCGCGTTTGGAGTTGATGCAAAAGTTAGAAAAAATTTCGCATCAATTTTAGTTTTATACTCAAGAGCAGGTCGAGCGCGGCGCCGTTACCATCGACTGGGGGCCAATAGATGAGCGCAGCTCCACACAGAAAATGCACAGCGTCATCGTCATTGCTGGAGCCGCCGTCGCCGCCGCCGCAATTGCCAAAGAGCAAACTCATCGTCATCGTCGACAACGGCGTCGTCATCGTCATCGTCAGCACTGCGAGCAGCAGCCGAAACTGAAACTAAATCATCGTGCAATTGGCGCTCATTCGGCTCTCGAGCTGGTTCGTCTCTTGGCTCGTTCGTCTCATTCATCGCTAAATAGTTGGCGCTGTGGCAGATGCCGCAGTCTCGCAGCCTCACAGCCTCGCCGCATTGCAGCATTGTTGGGGGGCTTTGTTTTGCTTGCGGCTTTTGTTTGTTTATGTTTTTGGCATATTTTGTGTCGCAAAAAAAAAAATTAAATAAATAAATAAAATTAGTGCAAATTTTGCATTTCGGCTTGTGAGCCATTGATGAAAGCCAAACAAAAGACTTAGGCAACGAACTTGTAAGACTGTAACAGTGTTTAATTGCGGCATTGCACCGAAATGATTGCAATTAGCAGCATTTAAATGCGATAACAACGGAAGACTTAGGCAACGAACTGGCCAGTTGATAGCTGTTAGAAAATTGCTATTATTAATTGCTATTAAAATAGTTAAATGGGTAATTAGCAGCTAAAGCATAGCACGGCTTACAACGCGACATTCGAAATTAATAAGGAAAAATAAAAGACTTAGGCGACGAACTTGCAAAGTTGATAAGCAAACGGATATATGCATTTTTCATAAGGTGCTAATTTATTGTCTGTAAATGAGTATATGGATAAATAAGAACTTAAGTCAGGGATTCTCGGCTCACGTTCGGAGGTAATAAGAACAAAAACAAAAGACTTAGGTAACGAACTTGCAATTTGAAAAGCAAAAGGATATAATGTGAATGGGGATATGTTTTAAATTTCTCATGTGATCAAACTTAATATTTCATTTGCCATCTGTCAACGAGTAAAAAGGTAAATAAGAACAGGAGATAATATTGGATTATTGGCAAACATTGGGCAATAGTTAAGAAAAAGAAAAGACGCAGACAAACAACTTGATAAGCGAAACTATTGCAAGTTCTGTCATGTATGAAGTGTACTTAAACGAGTAAGAAAGACAATATTAAAGCCACCAAAGAGCTTGCAATTTTTAATGTGTTCTCGGATTTGATTTCATGTAAGAGCTTGAGCAACTAAACCATCAACCGGATGCCGTTTAAAGCTGCTAAGCGCTTTAATTACGCAAATCCCTGATGTTAAAAACCCACGCCGCAGCGCAATTTCCATTTGAAATTACCATAAATTAAACTAATTAAAATCAAATCGCGGCAATAAATTTACAGCAGACATTCGCTCTAGAATTGATGCAGCCAGCCGCCAGCAGCCAGCAGCGTCAGCCAGCGACAGCCGCTCACTTTCAAAAGATGTGCAGTGGCAATCCGGTTGAGGCAATTGAGCCAAGGAATATATCGACGGCCACTGCCGACTGCAGATGGCTTTCAGTGCGCTTCAATTGAAGCTCATGCAGAGACGAATCTTGTGACTGAGATGCAGACTGAGAGTACGACCGGAGTCTGAGACTGAGACTGAGACTCATTCTGGTTCACCTTCGAGAAAAGCATTGCGGCAGCTACAACTAATAACAGCAACAAGAAACGTTTGGCAATGCGGCTGCTGCTTCGGCCGCTGCTGCTGTTGGCTTAGTTTTCCAGTTATTTATATATTTTTTTATATGTCTGTGAGAAATTCCCTTAATCAGCGCAGTCATTGCAACTGCCACAGCGGTTGCAAACAAGAAAAGTCTAAATTTGCTGCGACTGGCAGCTGAAAATGGCAGCAGGTACGTCGGGCTTGATTTCAAATACCTATTATCATTAGGCGTTGGTTGCTGCCATTTCATAATGGACCTCAAACGGACTGAACTGAACTCAACTCAACTCAACTGATGTGAGCTGTAATTAATATAGCTCTATAGGCCTGATGACTTGTGGCCATATTTTATTGGAGTTTAGCACTTGTTTCACACGCTGCCGCAGATTATATTTGTGTGTTATTTTTTCTCTTGAATACCCGTTGATAATTGACGGGGGTGCTGCCCTTGAATGGGGCATGGACTGTAGCCGACACAACATGTGCCATCATCTCGAACGTCCGGATAATTTGGCTGGCCGCATTAACCTTGACTTTTAACCAAGCGGAGGTGGCACCAACAACAGCAGCTGCTTCTTGAAAATTGTTTCAAATACGTGACGAAAACAATAATAAAGTAATTATCTACACACATGCATACATATATATATATGTATATATGGGGTCGACTTGGCTTGACTTTCATTGTGGTTGACACTTGTTGTGCCGCAAAAACGATTTTCTGTGTGCGTCGTTTTTTATTCTGCTGTCAGCTTTATGGAGCATTAGCGCATTTTAAATGGTTTCTTCTTTGCTATGCTGGGTTTTTGTTTTGGCCATTTGCTAATGCGGCCAAGACGCGACCATCTATTCGAATACCATAATTTATTAAATTAGCTATGAAATGACTTTTTAATATAGGTAGGCGAGTGAGCTCATCAGGCTTAGGTGTCATGTACTTCCCTTTTAAGAACCATCTTAAGACTAATGTCTTGTCACGGTTAAAATGAGTCTGAGAACTTTTAAGTAACAATATATTTTATACACCACTTAATGTGTACATTGTATATAATGTATATTATATAAGTACCCCTACCCAATGGGGTCTAGTGCAATATATTCATTCAGGAAGAAAGGTACAAAAGAAAGTAGCTCTTAAGCTCAACTCATCCAATTACAAGCACTTTATATAATTATTTAAGCTTTTCGCTGTTGCCGCAACTCTCAGCTATTTCCTGTTCCTAATGCATGCCACATCATTAATTCACTTGGAGCTCACATTATTCAAGCTAAAATCCTGCTTATAAAAAACGAGAAGAAATAAAAACCATTTCCTAAACAGACCGCAACTTGATAAACGCACTTGAGCAGCCGTTTTAAGTTCTCATTGTTCTGGTTTTAGAGCTTAATTTTTTTATTTTCCGTTTTGCCATTTTTGGTCGTTTTTGCTCCTTTCAATGGTTTTGGCGTTGCACAAACACAATGCAGCTGCAGTTAGCTGATTATTGTGCAAATAAAAGTTCTAATGATGATTTCGGCAACAACAATGCAATTATGCAAAGCAACAACAGCAACAGCAGCAGCAGCAGCAGCAACCAAAAAAGAGGAAGGCAATTAAATAGAAAACGAGAATGAAACGAGGAATTATAATTATCATGGGGCTGCAATCAACAATGAATATGCTAAACAGTCGAGCGGAGAACATCCTATGGTGCCACAAACGTGGCACATGCCACATCCGCCCCAAACAACAAACGAGTTGGGGGCATCATCAACATCAGCTTCAGCCCCAAAACTCTCAGGTAGCCATTTGCGCAATGCGCCAAAACCAAGCCCAAGCTCAAAACCGAAACCGAAACCGAAATCAAACCAAATATCATACATCATCGCAAAGGTTGCCAAATTATATCGGATCGCCGCTTCTCTCCCCTCTCTCTCTCTCTCT